TGAAACTGTAGACATCTGTGTCTTATGAATGACACTGGGGACTTAATTAAAGACCCCTGTACATGACTCACAGTGCTATGAAACCCACCTCATTGCCATTGAGCCAATTAGGACTTGTAATGACACTATAGGACAGAATAGAACTGGCCCCTAGAGTTCACAAGACTTTAAATCTTTATGGAAGAAGACTGCCTAATCTTTTTCCTGCAGAGAAGCTGGTGGGTTTGAACCACCAACCTTTTGGTTAGCAGCTAAATGCTTTAATTGCTGCATCACCAGTGTTCCTAGTGCTATGAATACCAACTTATTCATCAATTAGGAGCCCTGGTGGGGCAGTGGTTAAAGTACTACTGGTTACTAATCAAAGTCAGTGGTTGGAACCTATCAGCAGCTTTCTTTTTTTCTTTCTTTCTTTTTTTTTTTTTAAAGCTATTTTTCATGGTGGGTTGAGAGAGAAAGAGATCTACAGGACACCAAGAGTGCTCACATGAAGATGTGAATGGTACATCATTAACTGATGAGAAAATTACAGTAGAAAAGCAAAATTTCAGTGGAGAAAAATATGTTTTGAAATGTTATGAGAGTAATTTCCTCATCAGTTAATGATATACCATTCAAATCACCTTTGAAGATATGGTGATTTTTAGTATCAACACTGTCATTTCAAAGGGGAAATGGAAAACCTGGGTCACCAGATCTTCAAAGGTAAGATTTATTTATTTATTATTATTTTTAAAAAATAATAACAAAAACTGTTGAAAGAATAGTACAATAACAACTTATATTCCCTCACTAGATTAAGCATTTATGAAAATCTTATCATACACACCAATTTTGCCAAACCATTTGAAAATAGCCTATGGATGTCATGATATTTCATCCATAAATCCATTCCAATATTTCATGAACAATCAACTTTGGCATAGCCTCAGAAGCCTGACAATACATAAGAAAGTCAACATTAATTCATTAACATCACCAATTCACCAAAAATATCCCCAATCCACCAAACCAAAAACACTAAAACTTACTGCCACGGAGTTGATTCCGACTCATAGCAACCCCCATTGGATATCCACGGCTGTAAGTCTTTACAGAAGCAGACTGCCACATCTTTCTTCCATGGAGCGGCTTGTGGGTTTGAATCACTGAGCTTTTGGTTAGCAGCCAAATGCCTTAATCACCACACCATTAGAGCTCCTTCCAACCCACCAATAGTCTACCAAATGTCCTTTATGGCTGTGTTTCACTTGTATTGTGTTTGTATTTCTGTGTCTGTTTGTTTTTATATCTAATATCAAATAAAGATTCATATATTCACATTTGGCTCTTATTTTGCCTTGGTCTCTCTTGATTGATTTTGCCTTGGTTTTTCTCACTTTCTTTGTTTTTCATGATATTAAACCAGTCTTGACTGTCTCCTCATAAGTAAATGGAAGCCAAAAAATTTTGGCAAAAGCAAATCATTGGTGGTATTGGATGCCTGTCACAGCATCACCTCAGGAGGCACATGAAGTCAGAATGCCTCATGATTTGGTTAAGACCATCATATCTCTCCACTATAATGGCATTTTCCACTTCTTGTAATGCACCCAACATTTCACCCACTGGTTTAATAAACATGTCCAAATAAATTATCACTGTTTGATTCTATATTTAGCTTTGACATTTTTCTGTAGAGGAATTTCATTTCTCTTCTACTTCTTTCTCTCTCTTACTTTCATTCTGAGCACTCCCTTGGACCCATCCCCACTCCAAATAATTTGTACACATGGAATCTTTCTTTTTTAATTCACGTATAATATATTCCATTATGGTTCTTATTTGATGTCCAGATTGTTCCAGTGTTTTTAGTGGGATCTCCTTTAAAGTGGCTTCTGTGTCCTTTTGCCATGTCTCTGTTAGGCTTTGAGCCTTTCTTTGTTTTCTGGCACAAGTTGTTCCAGGCTCACCTTGTACTTTTATTGTCCCAGGATGGAATCAGCCATTTCTCAAACAAGCTCTGGTTCTATTAGAAAATTCTATTTAGAAACCAAGATCTGAGTTTCAGGTGTTTATTGCCTCTAATGTGTCATTGATCTTGACCCTTTCAGAGGACAGACTTAGGGGAAAAAAAATTATAAGTGTGTGTGTATCAATGTGCATGTGTGCATACCAATACCTCTCATTCAAATCTAATGCTTCTTCCTCACCTTAGCCTATTTGATATTTATAGTTCTCTTCTGCAGTGGGAAATCTTGTTCCCTCAAATATCAGTGTGATTACCTGTTTGTTTTAAATCCCACCATACGCCCCAAATAATTTCAGAATGCCATCACCAAGACTACTTCCCTAAAATCAACTAAATTCCAGATATTTTCAATTATTTTTTTAATGAATTTTATTGAAATATAATTTATGTACAGTGAAATACACAAAACTAAAGTGACATGGGTCAATGCATTTTTTTTTTTTTTTTGCAGTGTTCCCTCCTCTCCTGCCCACCCCTGGCAACCAACAAAGAAAGTTTCCCTCCTATAAACCTTTCCTTGACCCTCCACAACAATGAACTAATACTATATTTGTCCTTCTGTGATTGACTTATTTCACTCAGCATAATGTTCTCCAAGTTCATCCATATTATGCAGTGTTTTAGAGACTCTACATTATTCTTAGTGCTGCACAGCATTCTATTATGTGTATGTATCATAATTTGGACATCCAAATTGCCCAGTCTTCCTTCTGAGGAGTGACTGGTGGGTTTGAACCACCAGTCTTCTGGTTAGCAGTCAAATACCTTAGGCATTAAGCCACCAGAGCTGCTACCAGCCATCTAAGATACAAAATTAATCTCTCCTCCTCTGGAACAAAGAATAATGAAGAAAATCAAAGATGTATGGAAACAATTAGTCCAAAGGACTGGTGGACCATGCCACCCTCACCCTACATAATCCTGAAACCAGAAGAACTAGATGGTGCCCAGGTACCACTGTCAACCACTTGGGAAGGAATCAGAGTAGGAAATTCTAGGTAGAGTGGGAGAAAAATGTGGCACAAAACTCAAAGTAAAAAAAAAAATAGAAAACATAAAACTAGGCTTATGGTCTGATTGAAACTGGTAAAACTCCCAACACTATGGCTGCTAGTTACCTTTCAGACCTGGAACTGAACTCACTTCATGGCTTCCAGCCAAACACTAGACAGGTATGTTAGGTAAATGATTACATCAAGTAGGCACACTCCCTAGAACAGTCAACCATGGAAGATCAGAGGGGCAGTATTTACACAGAGAGATAGTTCAGAAACAGGATTGCATAGGAAAGAGGACACAGAGAAATGGTAAACACAGGAAGTGGGAAGAGAGCTTTGCATTATGAAGACTGGAATAAATGTCATGAAACAAAATGTGTATGAGCTGTTTTATGGAAAATTAATTTGCTCTGTAAACTTTCACACAAATCACAATTATAAACAAACAAACAACAGTAACAACAACAACAATGAAAAACTCCTCACAACTGAATTCTATATAAAAAGATGAGGTCAGGCCTGGACTCTTTGTTATCCTTAGTCCTACCAAAAAGTCCCCCAAGCAAACAGAGTTTAAGGGAAAAAAAAAAAAATGCAGTTGTCTCTGGAGGCTGAAATGCTTTTAAAAAGTCTTCCAAAAAGATATGAACCTACATCATTGTAGGATCATAGTGTGTGGTATGATTTCAGATCAAGAAAAAATGGGCTGCTTTGATTATATTACAAATTGAAACTAAAATGTAGAGGAGAAAAAATATTAAAACTTGTTTATTTTATAGTGTTGTGGAATCTGTCAGCTAAAGGTTAGTTAACTAATAGTGCCTATTCTGATGCATGGAAACAAGTTTTTTTTTTTTTTTTTTTTTTTAAGTTTGTGTTGAGAAGGCCCAAGGTCAAAACTGTACCACTCAAGTCTGAAAGAAATTACCAAGCCTCATGATATTGGACCAACAGAACACATGAAAATAAGACCATCTGTAAAATGACTGCTTCCATTGCTCCATTTTCAACTTTTCATATAATGTACTTTGCTCTTTCCACCAAAGCCACTCTGACCTATTTACAGTTCCTTGCATACACGCTGCTGGTTCTCATGTCTGTGCTTTAGAGCTGGCTCCTATTTCAACTACAAAGCTACTATTTTGAATACAAGGACTATTTATTTTAGACATCAGATACTACTTTCAGAAACTTTTCTTTCCTATTTATCAACATTGGTTTATTCATTGTCTACTATATGTCAGACAAGCCCATATTATATAACCAACCATTCACATAGGGATGTAACTAATTAATCTGATTTCTTGGTTGGTTATCTGCTCAGCTCTATAAAGATAGGTACAGAAGACTTAGCATAATGCCTAACATATGAGGGAGTATTCAATAAATTCTGTAAAAAGGCTGAGTAAAAATTACCACAGCAGAATGTTCATGATTTCTTCCCCTACAGCCTGCATATGAAGACAAAACACAGACACAAAAAAATTAAAAACGACACTTAAAAGTTCTTAGAATAAACAAATCTGCCCTGGAATAAGTGCAGCCACAATGCTCCTTAGAAGCAAGGATGGTCAGACTTTGTCTCATGTACTTTGGTCTTGTTTTCAGAAGAGACCGGTCCCTGGAGAAGGGTATCATGCTTGGTAAAGTAGAGGGTCAGCGACAAAGGAGAAGACGTTCAATGAGATGGATTGACAGAGTGGCTGCAACAATGGGCTCAAGCATAACAAGGATTGTGAGATGGCACAGAACTGGGCAGTGTTTCACTCTGTTGTATGTAGTGTCACTATTAGAGCAAACTCGATGGCACCTAACAGCACCAACAAAAAGTTTCTAGATTCAAATGTCCATTTTTTCATTTTTTCTCATTTTTCCTAGTGCTACCCCATGAGCCATAAAGGATGTGATTGGTACATTTTGTTTGTTTGGGCTTCATACTAAAACAACGTGGGCAAAACTTAGTTATTCGGGAGCTTGCGCGCAGCGCGGAGGGAATGGGGTCGGACTCAGAAATGGTGGCCCGCATGTTCTACACCCGGCAGTTGGCTGCCTCTGCCCTGAGAAGCCACGGGTCCCAGGCGGCGCTACGGCCCGCCGCCCAGGTATTATGATCCAGCCTGCTCCCTCCTCGAGAATCGGCAGGAGAAAGGGCTAGGCTCTGGGAAGTCCTGGATTGTTTAACAACCATGGGCTCCAAGTACAGCAGCAGCAGCAAAGGAGTCTTGCACTACATGAATACCTGAGCATGGAATTGTTGCAGGAAGCTGGTATCGCCGTTCCCAAAGGACAAGTGGCAAAATCACCAGACGAAGCTTTTGCAATTGCCAAAAAATTACGTTCAAAAGATGTTGTGATAAAAGCTCAGGTTTTAGCCAGTGGTCGAGGAAAAGGGACATTTGAACGTGGCCTCAAAGGAGGAGTGAAGATAGTTTTCTCTTCAGAAGGAGCTAAAGCTGTTTCCTCACAAATGATTGGGGAAAAGTTGTTTACCAAGCAAACTGGAAAAAAGGGCAGAATATGCAATCAAGTATTGGTCTGTGAAGAAGCTCTGGTAGCATAGTGGCTAAGACACTTGCCTGCTAACCAGAAGGCTGGCGGTTCAAACCCACCCGCCACTCCTCGGAAGGAAGGTTGGGCAATCTACTTCCGTAGTGATACTGCCTCGGAAACCCAAGGAGGGGTCGCTATGAGTCGGGGCCTACTCGACAGCACATAACAACAATTGGTCTGTGAGCGCAGATATCCCAGGAAAGAATAATACTTTGCAATAACAATGGAAAAGTCATTTCAAGGTTTTGTGTTAATAGGAAGTTCTCAAGGTGGTGTCAACATTGAGGATGTCGCTGCTGAGACTCCTGAAGCCATATTTAAAGAATCTATTGATATATTAGAAGGCATCAAAAAAGAACAAGCTGTCAGACTTGCACAGAAGATGGGATTTCTACATAACATTATGGATTCTGCAGCAGAGAACATGGTCGAGCTCTACAAACTTTTTCTGAAATATGATGCAACCATGGTAGAAATAAATCCAATGGTAGAAGATTCAGATGGAGCTGTGCTGTGTATGGATGCAAAGATCAATTTTGATAGTAATTTGGCCTATCACCAGAAGAAAATCTTTGACCTACAGGACTGGACCCAGGAAGATGAAAGGGACAAAGCTGCAACTCAAGCAAATCTCATCTACATTGGTCTGGTTGGAAATATTGGCTGTCTAGTAAATGGTGCTGGTCTGGCTATGGCCACAATGGATATAATAAAACTTCACAGAGGGACTTCAGCCAACTTTCTTGATGTCGGTGGTGGTGCCACTGTCCATCAAGTAACAGAAGCATTTAAGCTTATCACTTCAGATAAGAAGGTACAGGCTATTCTGGTCAACATTTTTGGAGGAATCATGCGATGTGATGTTATTGCACAGGGTATAGTCATGGCAGTCAAAGATTTGGAAATTAAAATACCTATTGTGGTACGGGTTACAAGGTACATGTGTTGATGATGCTAAGGCCCTAATAGCAGACAATGGACTGACAATTCTTGCTTGTGATGATTTGGATGAAGCTGCTAAAATGGTTGTAAAGCTCTCTGAAAGAGTGACTTTAGCTGAGCAAGCCCAGGTGGAGGTGAAATTTCAGTTGCCACTCTGATCTGACACCCAGTGGATGGCTGAGGGTGTTACATGTGCTATAAGCATTGAAAATACTGTCTTCTGTATTATTGTCCCCCCCCCTTTATTTTTTTAGTGCTTAGAAGTTATAATTGCCATATGGGCATACACACTTTTATGAACATTTTGTCTCCATTTTATTCTACTGTTCAGAATGAGCTGTTTGTATAGTGTGTATGATGCAGTAAATATAGTTTGGTTTGTTACAACCTTCTTTTCTGCTTCTACAGAATGCCACTTGTGATATGCCTGTGTATTAATGTTGGATATAAAGTTCTTCATAGATAAGAGTCCTATGAATAAAATAAATATGAAGATACAGTTTTATTCTTTAGTCTTAGAAATATATCTAATAACTAGCTTCTTTAGTAAAGCACTGTATTAAAATAATGTTTTATATAAGAAGTGGTTATCTTCAACACCAAATACAAATTAATTATATCAATCATTATTTATGAACAGTTTTCAAACACTCCACAGAATATTCTAAGTATTTCAGTGAAATAACTTGTTAATTATTTGAACATTGTTTTAATCACTGCAAAGCATTGATAACTGCAAGTCGCCATGATTCTGTGGTATTATTATGAAGCATTTATAGGTTTGTATCAAATAAAGGCATATTTACTAAGGACTAAGCAGACAAAATTAAGAATGTCAATATAAGTTAATAAAAATCTTCAAAATGTGAAAAAACCCAAAAACTTAGTTATTTGATTTAAAAAGAAATTGCTTTTGCATTGTGAAAATATTATTTAAAGTAGGTACACCTGGCCCCAAAGTTCTGATTATTAAAAGAAAATCAAAACAAAATTGAATAAAATATACAGATCTTTAGCTGTGGCATTTGGGGAATGAAATGTGAATATATATTGTGGTGATCTCAAGGGAATAGAAATTATTTCAGATGTGCCAGAATAAAAAGGAATTCTTGAGTCATCCACAGATGAATTAGTCATATACTAAAAATACAGAATATGCGAGGAAAATTATTGCCGAAGAGAAAAAATAGAGTAATGGTTAATTTAAAATAACTGCAATCAAGAACTTTTTAGGCAAATATCACAAGTGCAGCAACCACGGAGAAAACTGAGTTATGGAGATAAAAGAGAATATAGAATAGAATCCACCCTGGAACTTGCTCATGGCGATGCTTTATTTTCAACTTGCAAAGCTAATATGATTAGAAAATCTAAAATAACTTTGAATGTCATAAATTTGATGCCAAGACACAGACGTAAAAATATAACCACATTTTAATGTGCAATCAAATGCATTCAAGTGATTTACCTGACTTTGCTTCAACCATGTTATGGTGCAGGTGGAATCAGAAAACAGTAAATAAACACAGTGTTTTCTACAGAGGTGATTGGAAGTCAGAAAGACTGGGTTTGGTTCTACCTGTTACTGAATGTAATTGGACATATTACTTGATTTATCTGAGGCATAATTTCTTATTTCGAAAAGAGGGAATAATAGTAATTACCTCACATGATTATTATATGGATTAAATTTAAAAATGTGTGCACTAATATGTATTAGGAGCTCTGGTAGCATAGTGCCTAAGGCACTTGACTGCTAACCAGAAGGCTGGCGGTTCAAACCCACCAGCCACTCCTCGAAAGAAAGGTTGGTCGACCTACTTCCATAGTGATACTGCCTCAGAAACCCAAGGAGGGGTCGATATGAGTCAGGGCCAACATGACGTCACATAACAACAACAACAATATGTATTAGGATAATGCTTGACACATATTCTCCAAAATGATTTATTTCTTGTTATTCAAAATTAGGCTTTTTCTCCTACCATAGCAGAGTGTGACTCTGAAAACCATCTCTTGTAGTGTTGTACTTCTACCCTACAGTAAACCCGATATTCAAACACAAGCTACACCCACTGCTGTCAAGTATGAGTGAGACTTGGATACCAGATGATTCGACTTGCTTTAAAATGTGTCTGACACACGAGAATATATAAGTGTGAGGGCCTGGAGTTTTTCTTGAAAGTATGAGGATTTTGTTGTGCACAATTGGTTCAGAAACTCTTTTTTCCCACTTGTAGTTACTGAGAGTATATTTTAATCATTTGGTATTCAAGACGTGAATGCTGACTAAGAGAAGCGTCACTATAATGACTTTCATTTGGTTCATGCATCACACTACAATGTAAGGAGATATACAGATTCATATCAGAGAGAAAGAAGGCTGTGTTGTCATTTTTTATTTAGAAAATGAGAAGTTTATCAGTTGGATTTCAAAGGCATGTGAATAAAGAAAGGAGAGAACTACTTAGAAAAACAAGTGCAAATATTGCCTTTATCAGATACCCAAACTGCTTTCAGGTTTTCTTTTTTCTACTCAAACAATATCATTAATAATATTACTTACTGTTTAATTTTAAGCATCTTGAAAGCAAGCATATAAGAAAGCATGAGAACATCCCCACATATTAAGGTCAAAGTCACTTTGGTCCCTCTGTGCTCAAGTTTGGTACCCATCATTTCCTAGAGGTCCCAGACACAAATGAACTTTTCTCCAGATCACTTTGAGTACTGATGTGTTTTATCACGTTTACCAATGTCATTCATTTATTTCTTTCTATAATAAATTGTAGTTTATAGCAGGGCCATTTTGGAATTTCACTTTTTATAACAATCTTCCTGCTTCTAACTACCCTTCTCCCACTCCCTATACCTTAATACCTGGAACAGAAAAACCAAACCAAAGCCATTGCTATCAAGTGGATTCTGACTCATGATGACCCTATGTATGTCAGGGTAGAATTGCACTCCACAGGATTTTCAATGAGCTATGATCTTTGGAAAATAGATTGCCAAGCCTATCTTAGGATGTGCTTCTGGATAGATTCAAACTGCCAACCTTCCGGTTAGCTTAATTGCTTGCATCATTTGTGGACTCTAGAACAGTAAAATACACTGTTAATTCTCAAAAATGCTTAATGTTTAATATGTTATGTCTTGGTTGCTCCCCTCACTCAATGGTAGGTTTCAATTTTAATAGTCCATTTGGTTCAAATAAAGCAAATTGACCAAGTTAAGTGATTGTGTTTCCTTAGATGGATGCCCTTATATCTTGCTGTTTACAGATATATCAATTAATGGTATTTTTGTTACCACTTATATTGATGGTTCAAAATTAGCAGGTAAAAATATTACAATTAGGGATTTTTACCTGTAGCTTTTATATCCATAAGTTGAAAATTCATATTTACATTCTTTATATAAAATAATTGTTCTTACCGTGTGTTTTGTCTAGTTTTATTGGCTTTCTTTGGTAGTACATTAAATGTCACTTTTTTCACATTGTTTTTCAAGTTTTCACAGCTTTTTTCTTCCACTCACATGGTAGTAAACAGAAGGAAGTGTGAGGAATGAGAACGAGAATGGGCTGGAGGACTCAGATATGTCTTGCTGTTACTAACCTTTAATAGTTAAGCCTCTGTTTCCTTTAACAAGTATGCTTACTTGTTAAGTTTTGACTTAGGCTTAAAAACAAGGTCTCCTGTCACTGCCATTGAGTTGATGTGACTCATAGCAACCCCTCCTTAGGTTTCCAAGGCTGTATCTCTACAGAAATAGATTGCCTAACGCTTCCAAGAGGTGGCTGGGTTGAACCGCCAGCCTTCTGGTTAACAGTCAAATGTTTTAGGCATTATGCCACCAGAGCTCCCTGTCTAATATTAATGTTGTTGTTATTGTTATTTGCCCTCAAATTGGACCCGACTCATAGCGACCCCTCCTTGGGTTTCTGAGGCAGTATCACTACAGAAGTAGATTGCCCAATCTTCCTTCTGAGGAGTGGCTGGTGGGTTTGTTGAATGCTTGCCAATTCTAGGCACCTAGTTAAGAACTTGACATATATTAGTTTTAATCTTTATGTTTAACTTGCAAGGAGAGTTTTAGTCAGATGAGAAACCTCAATCTCAGGGAGTTTAAATAACTTGATCAAGTAACATACCTGTTAAACATCTGAGATTAAATTTGAACACAGATATTTCACATTATTTTTCCCCAGGTGCCTCTAGTCTTCATACTTAACTCCATTAAAAATGAGTAGTTTCTCCTGATTTTCAGTAATCAGATAAAGGAAATTTGGGATTTACTTTGTAGAAAACATATAACAAAACCCCCACAAAAATGTAATCTTTATGTCATCTAAATATTGCCAAAAGGGACTAGGATTACTTCAGCTTACACTTCATTTTATGTTTAATTATGATCTTCCACAAATATATAGGAAAAGATATTATACTAATCTGCCAATCCTCTTTTAAGAAATCTTAGAATTTAAAAACATTTTTAAAAGAGTATGTTGTTGTTGTGTTGTTATGTGCTGTTGAGTCGCACATGACTCATAGTGACTCCTCCTTGGGTTTCCGAGGTGGTATCACTACAGAAGTAGATTGCCCAACCTTCCTTCTGAGGAGTGGCTGGTGGTTTTGAACTGCCAGCCTTCTGGTTATCAATCAAGTGTCTTAGGCACTATGCTACCAGAGCTCCTAAGAAAAAAAAAATCATAGTTAACAGAAAATAATATATAAAAACATACATAAAGTGTGTAATTTATGCATTACAGTTATTCAGTCTGTAAAATTTCTGTTCCCTTGGATGTTTGACAAGAGTATCTCCCTTTTCACTTGTATAAAGAGTGAGGCTGGTCCACTCAATTTGTGCAAGGCTGCTCTTTGCTCTTACTGAAAAAACATCTGTCTGTGTATTACACCACGGGTAATGGGAGAATTTGCCCTCTTTATTCACTTGGAAGGAGCTCTGGTAGCATAGCACCTCAGGCACTTGACTGCTAACCTGAAGGCTGGTAGTTCAAACCCACCAGCCACTCCTTGGAAGGAAGATTGGGCAATCTACTTCCCTAGTGACACTGCCTTGGAAACCCAGGGAGGGGTCACTATGAGACGGGTCCGACTCCATGGCACATAACAACAACAACAATTCACTTGGA